CACTCTGTAGACAAAAGTGGTCTACAACTCAGAGATCTGCCTGCCTCTGTATCCCAAGTGCTGGGACTAAAGGTGTATGCCACCACTCTCTGGCTTCCCATTCACTTTTTGTGAGCATTAAAAGAAATAGAGAAACTGAGATTCAGGGAATGTTGAACACTGGTCCTATTCTTCTCTCACCCCAAGGTACATAGACAACATAAGCCTGCCCACTCCATGCATGCCACACAGTGGAGACCCCCTCATTTGCACATACCCACTTTACACTCTGTCCCCCCTCCTGCATTCTTGTTCCTCCAACCCCATTCCCAAGAAGATTCTTTCAGCTTTCCAAACATGAATCCTGTCTGTGGTTTAGGTTAACATGCAGCCTTCTCCAGGAAGCTTTCCTTGACTCACAAGTGACCTTTCGCCTCTTTCTTGGCCTCCCAGGGACTCCTATGGGCAACGGGAGTTCTCTCATAGCAAGATCCTGTCCCCTGCCTCCTAGGACCCCTAAGGGCTATCGAAAGTGCAACACCTCTGTTCCTTACCTGCTCACAGGGCCGGCGACGCACCCCTGGAGGTGGCCCTAGGGCTCGTATGACTCCTGGTCGGGGCTGAGGGGGACTGTACTGGGGATAGGCCAGAGGTCGGGGATAGCCACCAGGTCCCAGGAAATGAGGCTGCACCATCCACTGCAATTCCTGGCTGCCACTCACAGCATTGATGCTTGGCACAAGGTGGAACTTCTGAGAAATAAGAGCAGAGGGTTAGTGATGAGGTGAATTGAGGGGCTTCCAGGGGACAGAGGCTATCCCGTCTACTCTCAATGCAGATACTGGGAGACCACAAGGAACGCAATTTGGTGATCAGAAACTTGTTCATGAGCTGTGTGACTTTGGGTAGATCACAAAATGTCTCTTTACCTCTGTTTCCTCAAGAGATAATTCTTACCAAGTATGAACTGTTCCAACTACTTTATAAATAGTGACTCATACAGCTGGCACAATCACGTCTTCATTTTCAGACGGGACAGCAGTTGTCCATAGACCCACAGCCAGCAAGTAGAACCTGAGATGGGAGCCCAAATGGCTGGGCTCTCTCACCCATTCCTGCCCCCATCCTCACAAAAGAGCACAAATTCAGCTTAGCTCCCAAGGCAGCTCTGAGAATCTGGTAAGGGAATTTGTTTTGGGGGGGACAGGATCTCATGTAGCTGCGGCTAGACTCACCCTTGACCCTCCTGCCTCCACCTCCCAAGCACTGAGACTCTAGGCATGCAGCACTACACCTGACTGGAGAATGTGTGTAATAGCCTCTTAGGGGAGTTGGGTGCTGCAGGGCAGTGGTGACTGGAGCCCTTACTCCCAGCATTTGGGAGGCAGAGGCAGGTAGATCTCTGTGAGGTTGAGGCCAGCCGGGGCTGTTACACAGAGCAACCCTGTCTGGAAAGGCTGTCCCATTTGAAGGATCGGCTTTGTGACTGGGGCAAGTCATTTAGCCTCAAGGTTACTTCAGTTTTCTTGTTCTTAATATCATGCAACATTTCATTGCTGCTGAGAAGCCGGCTCTAATAGCTCAGAAATCAGAGTTTAATTGGCTTTTAAATTTTTTTATTTTATTTTTTGAGACAGGATTTCTCTGTTATGTAACTTAACTCACTTTGTAGATCAAATGGGTCTTGAACTTCCAGAGATCAGCCTGCCTCTGCCTCTGCCTCATGAATGCTGGGATTAAAGCTATGCCCAGCTGTCAATTTGAAATTTTGAAGGCTCAAAATTGATGGGATTTTGGAGTTCATAAAATAAGGTAAAGAGATGAAAAGCCCTCCATAGGAGGCCTGGCATTCTTTACTCCTTTTTCTGCCAGAATCTGAGGCATGTGTTGGAATTGGGTAGGAGTGGGGGTCTGGAGGGGTGTGAGTATTCTGGGGAAGAGAACTGGGTTTAAGTCCTGTGAGCTAAGGGTGTGGGGCCCCTTCTGTCCAGGAAACACCTCATATGCCTAGGCAATCCTGGACGGCTATGTCCCCAGCCCAGTACTGGGGGACACAGTAGCTGAATGGCCCCAGTTCTGAGCTAGAAGCATCGCCAGGGGCATCTCCCGCTCCTAGGTCGTCGGTCCCAAGGGCCGTTTGGGGCCAGGAAGGGAGGGGCACCCAGGGTGACTCAGCCGCAGTGACTCGGTTCGCTGTGACTCGGCGGAACGGACGCAGCTCTTTCCCTCCCCTGGCGACACGTGCTCGTGGCTCTTCGACAGGAAATGGGCACCTGCAACCTCTCAAGTGCTCCTAGCCAGCTGTGGGAACCGTCGGGTGCTGAGAATATGGGGCGCAAGAGTGGCCTGGTGGATGAGCCGCCACATGTCCCAACACTTCGTGGTCTCCATTTGTCTTAGGGAGTGGAGAGTCAGTCTCCAGGAACCCCTCAGAGCCACTGTCTGGGACCCACAGGAATCTACTGAGTTCAAAAGGATGGGGACTTGACCGGACAGAGGGACACGGACAAACTAGAAGCGACACACGGACAGTCACAGACAGACTGCTAAGGATTCGCTGTCCTGGCTGGGTTCTAATGCCCCCCTCCCCCAATCTCCCGTGTGCCCAGACTCTAGGTCCCGGTTATTAAGCTGGAGATGGAGCACTCACTCTGATCCTGCTCAGTCTTGGGATGGGGCAGGTGGAACACCATATTTAGGGGCAGACAAGAGGAAATAAAGACCATAGCGGAGACAGAGGGGCAGATTGACATTTAGCTAGGGAGATGCGGGCGGGCGGGCGGGCGGGCGAAAAGGGGGATTCGTAGATCTTCGTTCCTCCAGCTGCGCCTGCTCCCCTGGGTACGGGGGACACCGGTTCCTGGACTGCGCAGAACGTGCAGGATCCTCGGTCGCGACCACCAGAGGCAGACGCTGCTCGGGGTCCCGGTCCTAATCCCGGAGCAAACCAGACTAACTCCAGCATCCCCAACGCTGTCCAACCCCAGGTCCCCTCGGGGGTCCGGCCAGCCTCACCTGCTGCTGGGCGGTCTGTGCCTGCGCTTGCGGGGGCTGCGCGGGGCGACCGTACGCGCTGCCGGCCCCGGAGCTCGGTCCCGGTTCCCCGAAGTCTCGGTACATGCCCTGGGCTGGATGCTCGGTAGGGTCCGCGTCGGCGGCTGCGGTTCTGACTCACTCGCGCCTCGCGGAGTCTTGTCTTTTTTATGAATGAAAAGTTTTCGGGCTGAACCACTTGCACCGCTGGGGGTGGGGGGCGTGTCGCAGCGGCGCCTCTCACCTCTCGGAATGAGCCGCTGTGGGCCGGTCCGCACGGAACTTCACGACCCCCTGCTTTGGTGGCCAGCAGCCTCTACTGAGGGAAAGCGACCGACTTGGCGTCCCCTAGCCTCTGCGGTGGCCCCGCCCCCTCTGACGCAGCTGCCCATACATGGTGCAATTTCCTCGCCGCGCCTAGGTGCAGCGAGGATTCCCCTTGACGCACCTGGCTGAGGTTGGGGCTTGCAGGTGCGCCCCGCCCCGTCTGGGCTAGCCAAGGTTCCCAACGCCATAAAACATGCAGCCGATTGGCCTCGCTCGGGGGTTTAGAAAGAAGAACCGGAAAACTACCTGGAAACTATTGAAGTGAATTATAAGTATGATCATTATTTACCTGGCAGGAATCATCCCAACTGTCACCCAAGTCTGCCGTCTTGGCTTAAGGCCACTCCTCTGGAGTCGGGGTGGGACGTTTGTTTGCTTGAGTTTACTCTGTTTATTGTTTGTCAAGGGAGGTTGGTTGGAACAGGGTTTCAGGTATCTTAGGCTGGCCTTGAACTTGGTACTTAGTTGAGGCTGTACTTGAACTCCTGATCCTTCACCTCTCAGGTGCTGGAATATGCCACCATCATGCCTGACTTCTTTGATTTTAGATAGGGTCTCATGTAGCCCAGGTTGATCTTGAACTCCTTATGTAGCTTCGGATAACCTGGAGCTGCTGATCTTCTTGCCTTCACCTCCTGAGTGGAGGGCAGATATTACAGGCATGTGCCACCACACCCAGTTTCAACTAGTGTCACAGCCTCTGATAGACTAAAAAGTAAGTGACAAACCAAGGTTACAAAAATGTTGTTAGATTTTAACACTAAATGAAACGACACTTAGGGTACCCACAGATAGAAAGCACCATAATTGTATTCAAGACAGTCTCTGGAGCTATCACAAGTTTTAATCCAGGACTCTACAGGCAGAGCCTACAGAAGGACACAGATGCAATCGATGAGGCTTCTTGACTAGAGGCACGCCTCCAGTTCTGTGTGTGTGTCACCAGCCTTCTTTGGAAGTATGTGAAAGGTCTTTGTGAGGGTGAGGCCCTGGCCAAATGTCCTGGGGAGGTAGGTGCCATCATAACCCCCATTTTACAGATGGGGAAAACTGAGGTTGATAGGTATTGAAACGAGTTGCCCAAGGCCACTGAGTAAGCGGCTGAGTCTGGTGACCAAGTCAGGCCATCAGAGCTTCGAACCCTCACACTGTGCATACATGTAGAATGTCAGGCTGGAAGGACCCCAAAGCTCCCTTCTCAGCTTCTTTCCACTTCAGAAGGTCACCAGCCTAGAGCCTTTTCATTGCTCTGATTGTACGAAATGCCTGTCATCCTCGAGAGAAATCACAGCAGTTTGCCAGAAAGAGAAATGCAGGCATGTGTGTGTGTGTGGGTGGGTGGGGGGGCTGGGAGAGCAAGAGAGGAGTCTTGGGAGCAGTGAGACCCAGAGAAAGAATACGAATATGTATATGGTGGACTCCAAAAGCTCTGGGTTCTGGGTTTGAATTCTGGATAGGCTGACCATCCGCTGCATGTCCTGGATGACTCACACAATCTCTCTGAGCTCCTGTTTCCTCATTTGTGAAATGGAGACGGTGATAACTACACCTGAGGATGGCTAGAGATATACATACACTAACGTCACAGGGACAGGCGTGGTGGTGGTGAACGCCTGTGATGCTGCAGTACTGGAGGACAGGAGAAAGTCTGTATCTGCTACAAAATGAGTTCAAGGACAGTCTCTGTCTCAAAAAACAGGTCAAAGTGCTTGCCACAACAGGCCTGACCACCCGGGTTTGCACCCTGGAGCATGTGGTGTCGGGAAGAGAACTGAGTCTCAAAAGTTGCCCCATGATCTCCTCATGAGTGTTGTGATACATGTACTCTTGCATGTGCACACACTCACACACCACATCACACCAACACACACACACACACACACACACACACACACACACACACACACACACACACACGACTGATCTTTAAATTCTTTGGCTGACCAGAGCTAGACAGATGACATCAACAGCCAGGTGATGGCACACAGGAGAATTGACCTGAGTCCAACTTGACTGCATACATCCTCCTGCTGCAAAAAAGATTACCCTACCTTCTCCTCACACTGTCTGTGGCAGCTGAGCAGGGCCCAGGTCTCCAGTGCAGTGTGTGTACGTGACTTGAAAGTCCCTTCCTGCTCTAACTGTGGAGCCACAAGAGGCCCTTTCAGACCCAGCACATTCCAAGCTCCTCAGTCATTAACTCCTGCCTTGCGGTTGCACAGACGTTCCCCATGCCTGACCTCACCAGCTCCCAGCCAGGGAGCCAGAGGAGAACCCCAGGTACTGCAATGACGACTAGGAAGCCACTGTCCCTGGGTTTCTGTGTGTGCTTGTTTCAGAGGCCTCCCATCTGTGAGCCCGGAGAACCCCCGCCTCTTGAGCTGCGGTGGGGCCAAAGGAGGCGAAGGATGGAAGTTTGGCATCCAGTAGGTTCTCAGGGCCACCAGGGAGTTGGAGGTGATGTTTATGTTGTGCAGTTTCTATTCTCTTTTTAAATTAAAGTTTACTTTTTTAATTGAGGTGAAATTCACATAACATACAATTAACCATTTTAAATGTACAGTTCGGTGTCATTTAGTGCATTCACAACGTTGTGTAACCACCACCTCTCTCTGCTTTCAAAACTTTATTGGTCCAGAAAAACACCCCGTGTCCATTAAGTAATCACTCCCCACTTACCCCTTGCCCCATCCCCTGGTAACCAGTAATCTTTCTGTGGATGTGGCTTTGCCGATTCTGAGCATTTCACATAAATGGAGTCACACGCTATGTGACCTTTTCTGTCTGGCTTCTTTCATTCGCCATAAAGATTTTCAAGGCTCATTTGTGTTTTCCCTTGGATTTGATAATTTGTCCTTTTTCTGTGACTAAATAATATTCCATGCTATGTACGTACCACAGCTTATTCATAAGTCCTTGGACTTCATGCTGCCGTCACTTTGAGTTGGATATAAATAATCATTCTATGAAGATTGGAGTACCAGTCTTTGTGAGAACAAAGGCTTTCATTGCTCTCAGGCATTCGCCTTGAGTGGAACTGGTGCGTCTCCCTCGGGAGCCTCCAGACAATTCTCCAAAGTAGCTGTACCACTGCGCATCTTCCTGTACCACTGCTCACCTTCCTGTACCACTGCTCACCTTCCTGTACCACTGCGCACCTTCCTGTACCACTGCTCACCTTCCTGTGCCACTGCGCATCTTCCTGTACCACTGCTCACCTTCCTGTACCACTGCGCACCTTCCTGTACCACTGCTCATCTTCCTGTACCACTGCGCATCTTCCTGTACCACTGCGCATCTCCTGTACCACTGCTCACCTTCCTGTACCACTGCGCATCTTCCTGTACCACTGCTCATCTTCCTGTACCACTGCTCACCTTCCTGTACCACTGCTCACCTTCCTGTACCACTGCGCACCTTCCTGTACCACTGCTCACCTTCCTGTACCACTGCTCATCTTCCTGTACCACTGCTCACCTTCCTGTACCACTGCGCACCTTCCTGTACCACTGCTCATCTTCCTGTACCACTGCTCACCTTCCTGTACCACTGCTCGTCTTCCTGTACCACTGCTCATCTTCCTGTACCACTGCTCATCTTCCTGTACCACTGCGCACCTTCCTGTACCACTGCTCGTCTTCCTGTACCACTGCTCATCTTCCTGTACCACTGCTCATCTTCCTGTACCACTGCTCACCTTCCTGTACCACTGCTCACCTTCCTGTACCACTGCTCATCTTCCTGTACCACTGCTCACCTTCCTGTACCACTGCTCACCTTCCTGTACCACTGCTCACCTTCCTGTACCACTGCTCGTCTTCCTGTACCACTGCTCACCTTCCTGTACCACTGCTCATCTTCCTGTACCACTGCTCACCTTCCTGTACCACTGCTCACCTTCCTGTACCACTGCTCACCTTCCTGTACCACTGCTCATCTTCCTGTACCACTGCTCATCTTCCTGTACCACTGCTCACCTTCCTGTACCACTGCGCATCTTCCTGTACCACTGCTCACCTTCCTGTACCACTGCGCATCTTCCTGTACCACTGCTCACCTTCCTGTACCACTGCGCACCTTCCTGTACCACTGCTCACCTTCCTGTACCACTGCTCACCTTCCTGTACCACTGCTCACCTTCCTGTACCACTGCTCATCTTCCTGTACCACTGCTCATCTTCCTGTACCACTGCTCACCTTCCTGTACCACTGCTCATCTTCCTGTACCACTGCGCGTCTTCCTGTACCACTGCTCATCTTCCTGTACCACTGCTCGTCTTCCTGTACCACTGCTCATCTTCCTGTACCACTGCTCATCTTCCTGTACCACTGCTCACCTTCCTGTACCACTGCTCATCTTCCTGTACCACTGCTCACCTTCCTGTACCACTGCTCATCTTCCTGTACCACTGCTCACCTTCCTGTACCACTGCTCATCTTCCTGTACCACTGCTCATCTTCCTGTACCACTGCTCATCTTCCTGTACCACTGCTCACCTTCCTGTACCACTGCGCACCTTCCTGTACCACTGCTCATCTTCCTGTACCACTGCGCATCTTCCTGTACCACTGCTCACCTTCCTGTACCACTGCTCACCTTCCTGTACCACTGCGCGTCTTCCTGTACCACTGCTCATCTTCCTGTACCACTGCTCACCTTCCTGTACCACTGCGCACCTTCCTGTACCACTGCGCACCTTCCTGTGCCACTGCTCACCTTCCTGTACCACTGCGCATCTTCCTGTACCACTGCTCACCTTCCTGTACCACTGCTCATCTTCCTGTACCACTGCGCATCTTCCTGTACCACTGCTC